ACATCTAATGACTAGCACTTACTTGGTAGGATCGTAGCCCCTGGTGGACCGATGTCCTGGGTAGGTCCTAAACACACCACTCCTCAGACCTATATTAGTCCATTTTACTTGGTTCAGCGACTCAAATGACCGGTTCTTCCAGACCTCTTCAATAGGCTGTGTTATCAAAACATCAGCTCTAAAATAAAATATTTGAATTCAAATTTGATTAACATAATGATGTTCTGATCATTGAAAAAAAATCGAAGATCGAGTGAGTGCAACAGAAAAATGAGCGCTCAACTATGGTTTTGTAAGCTTGATTAATTGAAAATCCTAAACAAGAGGCCCAACGGGCCTGCATCGCTCACCTGGTATTAATCTCACACTTGTAACCTTAAAAGTGATCTAAAGTAAAGCTATGGCCAAAAAATCAGTACTCATGACTACAAGAGGCCCAATGGGCCTGCATCGCTCACCTGGTATTAATCTCACACTTGTAATCTTAAAAGTGGACTAAAATACAGCTACAGGCAGAATATCAGTGTTTGATTCATAAGAACCTATTTAAGGATTTAAACATATAACGCCTGTGACCTTGAATGTCGAACATGGACATTAGGTTGAACAGAGTTTATAGTCTTCCAACACAGCATGCATCTGGCAAAATATCATTACGCTGGACCTTTTGGTTATATAGAACAAATCATTTAAAGATTTAAACATATAATGACCACTGTGACCTTGAATATGGGTAAAGGTCATTCACTTGGTAGTCCTTCATCCCAGCATGATAATGGCCAAATATCATCACTCTTGGCCTTTTGCTTATTAAGAAGAAGTCATTCAATGGTTTTAAACATATTTGACCCCTGTGACCTTGAATATATATGTCAAGGTCATTCATTTGAACAAACTTGGTAGTCCTTCATTCCAGCATGTTACTGGCATTATACTAGGCCTCTTGGTTATTCAGAAGAAGTTGTTTAAAGGTTAAAAACATATTCGACCCCTGTGACCTTGAAAAAAGCTGAAGTTCATTCATTTGAATAAACTTTTGTAGCTCTTCATCCCAGCATGCTACTGGCCAAATATCATCACCCTAGGCCTATTGGTTTTTCAGAAGAAGTTGTTTAAATGTTTTAAACATATTTGCCCTCTGTGACCTTGAATATAAGTCAAGGACATTTATTTGAACAAACTTGGTAGCCCTTAATCCAAGCATGTTACTGGTTAAATATAATCATCCTATGCCTCTTGGTTATTCAGAAGAAGTTGTATAAAGATTTTAACATATTTGACCCATGTCACCTTGAAAATGAATGAAGGTCACTTATTTGAACACACTTGGTAGCCCTTCATCCAAGCATGTTACTGGCCAAATATCATCATCCTATGCCTCTTGGTTATTCAGAAGAAGTTGTATAAAGATTTTAACATATTTGACCCATGTGCCCTTGAAAATGGATGAAGGTCATTTATTTGAACAAACTTGGTAGCCCTTAATCCAAGCATGTTACTGGTTAAATATAATCATCCTATTCCTCTTGGTTATTCAGAAGAAGTTGTATAAAGATTTTAACATATTTGACCCATGTGACCTTGAAAATGGATGAAGGTCATTTATTTGAACAAACTTGGTAGCACTTAATCCCAGCATGTTACTGGCCAAATATAATCATTCTAGGCCTCTTGGTTATTCAAAAGAAGTTGATTTAAGATTTTTACATATTTGACCCCTGTGACCTTGAATATAAGTCAAGGTCATTTATTTGAACAAACTTGGTAGCACTTAATCCCAGCATGTTACTGGCCAAATATCATCATCCTAGGCCTCTTGGTTATTCAAAAGAAGTTGATTTAAGATTTTTACATATTTGACCTCTGTGACCTTGAAAATTGATGAAGGTCATCGATTTGAACAAACTTGGTAGCCCTTCACCAAAGCATGCTTCTGGCCAAATATCATCACCCTAGGCCTTTTGGTTACTGAGAAGAAGTTGTTTAAAGTAAAAAGTTGACGCCGGATGGACGCCGGACGGATGACGGACGACGGACGACGCACCATGCCATAAACTCACTTGGCCCCGAAGGGCCAAGTGAGCTAATAAATCATTCAAAAGAACCTAGTAAAAGATGTTAAAATATTTGACCCCTATGACCTGTTGTCCGATCCCAATTATATACTATCAGGAATAAAATTTGTTGAAATGAAATGATGGGACAAATTTTAACATCATTTTTTTAGATCTCAAGGGAAGCAATTGTGATTGTGAAAATTTTACTTTTCTGCAAAAAGTTCCAATTCTTTTAAGTGAAACAAATCACATCCAAATCCAAGTAGTTGTTAAATGCAAATAAATAAAAAAAAGAGGCCCAGAGAGCCTGTATCACTCACTTGGCTATCTGAGCAATCATGGCAAAATATTCTCCAAATGATATCCAAGGGAATAGGCCAGACCCCAAAGCCAATCCTTGTAGCATATCTGTATTAGACTTTTCATGCCCAGCAATTTTATGTATGGTTATGGGATGGGGATCTCAACTGCTTGCAAGCTGTGACTCAGAAACTAGGTCCCTAGGGTTGTGGCCAGACACTGGGGTCAATTCTAATATCATGACTGCAATTGTCTCTTTATGCCCAGCATTTGTATATATAGTTTTGGGGTGGGGATCTCAACCATTTTAAAGTTATGACCTAGGGACTATGTCTCCAAGGATGGGGCCACTCCCCAAGGCTATCCTGGAAGCAAATGTGCATTCTTCTCTTTAAACTCAGCAATTGTATATGTGGTTATACAGGTGCTCCCTTTTGGCCCTGCCCGTCAGCCCCCAGGGGGGTCAGTCCCACCATTTGTACAATTTTGAATCTCCACTACCTAGGGATGGTTCCAGTCGAATATGGTTGATATCCATTTCTTAGTTCCAGAGAAGAAGTGTCTTAAAGCATATGAGAATATATAAAGAATATGATTGATATCCAGTACACAGTTCTACAGAAGAAGTCGTTTATAGCAATATAGCCAAAAAGCACACTTTTGGCCCCGCCCCTCAGCCCCACCATTAGTTCAGTTTTGAATCCCCACCACCTAGGGATGCTTCCTGTCAAATTTACTTCAATTCAAATCAGTGGTTAAGAAGGAGTAGTCGTTTGAAAAAATTGTTGACGTATGAACGACAGACGGACGACAGACGCCACAGTACCCTTGGTCCTTCTGACCCAGTGAGCTAATAAAAACCACTGTGTTTCCTTTTTTCAATTTTTCACCTGATTGTATGAAATATGCATGTGTTCTTATTTTTTGCCTTAAGATAATCAAATCTATCCATATAACTTCAATTAAAGCCACAGTGTGAAATGTGTTTAATAAATGTTATAATGAATAAAATAATTTTTCTGTCGGTCAGCAGGGTTATTTTTATTTTATCTTTTTATTAGTTTTAAAGTTCCGCACAATGTCACCCCGCCAAAATAATAATCTCCATATTGTTGCATAATCATTGTGTGAAAGTTTCAATGATTTTTGTTTATAAACTGTGAAAGGGTGACGCCTACTTAACTCATCAAAAATGGACAAGAGGCCCAATGGGCCTGCATTGCTGTATTAATATGCACACTTGTAACCTTAAAAGTGGACTAAAGTAAAGCTACAGGCAAAATATCAGTATTTATGACTCAAAGTCATTCAAAAGAACCTGTTAAAAGATTTGAACACATTTGAAGTTTATAGCCCTTCATCCAAGAATGCAACTTGCCCAATAACAACACCCAAGACATTTAATTTATTATTAAACAATTTACCAGATGTGACCTTGAAAGTTCTTTAAGGTCATTCACATGAACAAATTTGATAGCTTTTCGTCTGAGCATGCTACTGGTCACATATCACTACCCTTTGCATTTTGGTTATTCAGAAGAAGTTATTTAAAGATTTTAACATATTTGACCCCTGTGACCTTGAATATGGGTGAAGGTCATTCACTTAAACACAAAGTGGACTAAAATAAAGCTACAGGTAAAATATCAGTGTCTTGACTTAAAGGTTTTAAGACTATTGACCCCTGTGACCTTGAATATGGGCAAAAGTCATTCATTTGGACAAACTTGGTAGCCCTTTATCCCCACATACTACTGGCCAAATATCATCACCCTGGAGGTTTTGGTTAGTCAGAAGAAGTAGTTTTAAGGTATTTTAAGACAATTGACCCCCGTGACCTTGAATATGGGTGAAGGTCATTAATTTAAACGAACTCTGAAGCCCTTTATCCCAGCATGCTTATGGCCAAATATCATCACCCTAGACCTTTTGGTTATTTTGAAAAAGTCATTTTATAGCACTTTTAAGACAAATAACCTCTGTGACCTTGAATATGGGTGAAGGTCATTCATTTGAACAAATTTGGTAGCCCTTCATCCCAGCATGCTACTAGCCAAATATCATCAGCCTGGGCCTTCTGGTTATTCAGAAGAAGTTTATTAAAGATTTTAACATAATAGACTCCTGTGACCTTGAAAATGGGCAAAGGTCATTAATTTGGACAAACTTGGTAGCCCTTTATCCCAGCATGCTACTAGCTAAATATCATCAGCCTGGGCCTCTTGGTTATTCAGAAAAAGTTGTTTAAAGTAAAAAGTTGACGCCGGATGGACACTGAACACACGACAGACGGACAAATAACGGACGACGGAAGGGCCAGGTGAGCTAATAAATGTATCATGAAATAGCATGGAATAAATCCAAAAACTGACCGTATGCCTTTGTTAAATTTCTTTGAGGATTCCCCACAGCTTTTGTTATCCGGCTCCATGCTGTTGATCCACAGGTGAGCATCAATAGTTTTTTTTTCAAGATCGTCGTCGTAGAGATAGGATATTGGGTCACAGTAAGCCTTGGCGGGCAGGAAAATGGTAGAATACTTGTAGGAGATCCGCAACCCTGGGTACCTGATCAAAATGTAATCAAAATTATAGGATTATTTTAAAATTTTTCAATTATATGACCTATTTTTAAGGAGTTTGGCCATTCTGAACTGCATCCAATAAACAATACTGGGTCCAGTGTTTAACCTTAAACAAATCTAATGTTAACTAAACAACTCTCACTTCAAACAGGAAAACCTGCCTACACCCTTAAGTAGAAATGCACAATGTTTTGTTATAAACCAAGCCAGAATATATTGTTTCAAAATCTGTCACAGCAATTTTGCTTTCTTAAAAAAAATTGTAATAATACTAAATGGTCTTTATAAACACTTAGACAGCTTTAAAGGAATGACTTACCTGTCTTCACTCTCCTTGATCTCTATAAA